TATCCGGGTTTTGTCTATTTTATATACATTAACACAGGCTCTAATTTGGGACCAGAGAAAATCTCTCTTATATCCGGGTTACACTGTATGTAATAAATCTGTGGAGCTTGATGCTTTTTTCGCCTAATCGGCCCTATCGTTGCCCTTGATGCCAATATGGCTAGGTCTCCAGAAGATGATACCATTATATGTTAACAAAAATTCTTTTTAGAAGTTTTATGTGGGTTTAACATTTTTTTTGTTAGTTTTTTTTTGAGTGCTGTAACGACATGGATTTTGAATATATGATGCAATTTTTGTCATTGCTTGCATTTATGATGTCAAAATCCAAATCTATGGTCACCACTTTTGTGCTGAACATACACTGGCGAAAATAAGTTTAAGACTGATGATTAAAGTTTTATTCATTTCAGAATATGATTCTTATAAATTGATAAGCTTTATGCTGAATTTATTTCTCTTTCAAATGAGGTAAAAATTGTATATTTTTCTACAACTTGAAAAATTAGTTAATCTACAAACACAGATATACAAATTCAATAATTTGTAATTGTTTGAGTATTATTTTTCTTTCAAATTGTCTGTGAGTTCAGTATCGTTATTATTTGCCTTGAAAAAGATGCTAATCTGATAGTGGATGAGATGGGTAGGAAAACCAATATCAACTGGTGTTTGTTTTGCATTGTTGAGTTCTTTAAGGTAAAGTAGACGACAGGATGAATTCCCGTATGCTCTCTTTAAGAAGCTTATTTTATCACTTATCATTGCTATTTTGTATCTCACTGGGCATTCACCAACCTAAACAGAAAACGTCTTTAATGAAATATATATAAAATGAGGGATTGCTGCTAAATACACAATATATATATATATATATATATATATATATATATATATATATATAATATATTTAGGCTTATATATATATATATATATATATATATATATATATATATTATATATAGGCTGCTATATATATATATATTTTGTGTATATAGGTTGCTATATATATATATATATATATATATTGTATATATATAGGCTATATATATATATATATATTATATATAGGTTGCTATATATATATATATATATATATATATATTGTGTATATATAGGCTATATATATATATATATATTGTGTATATAGGCTGCTATATATATATATGTGTATATAAACTGCTTTATATATATATATATATATATATATATATATATATATATATATATATATATATATATATATATAGGCTAAACTGCTATATATATATTTTTCTCCAATTCCTTATTGTACATTTTTCTGTATTAATTTCGAATCTCCCTTTGAAGCCTGAAGAGCGGGAGCGAAACCGGTTGCTTCCCCCTTGTTGTTGTTTTTTTTTAATTTTTTTAATTTTTGTTTAATATGTCTTGTAATATTAAATTTTATACTTTTATTTCGATCAATAAACTTTTGTACCTACAAAAATATCTTATATATATATAGTTTATATACCCTGCTATATATATATATATATATATATATATATATATATATATATATATATATAGCGAAAATAAGTTTAAGACCGAGGGTTAAAGTTTTATTCATTTCAGAATATGTTTCTATTTAAACAATGCAAATTAGTTTTATTTTTGTACTCTTTATGCTGAATTTATTTCTCTTTCAAACGTTTCAAAAACTGTCTATATTTTTATGCAACTTAAAATTTTTTAAATTATCCAAATTTGCCAGCAAAATAAGTTTAAGACCGCATGGGTATTATGCAAAGTATTTGCCAAATGGATTGTCACATGGCTGGTCATTAATGTATTATGTACTGTAATAACTGAGCGAAGGGGGTCGTCTTCTGGAGGGGGCAGAGGAGGAGAAGCGGGTTTTTCCAGGGAGTAGATGTTACGGTTTTAGTACCTCTTCCGTGCCGGGGGGGATTCTCTCCTCCCTTGCGTTCTTCCACCTCCACCGTTGCGTGGACAGAATCCTTGGACTCGTTCCATAGCAGTGGTATGACTGGCTATGACTAGCTTAAAGTGGAGTCAACGCGGGTCCCAACGTAAAAACTACCTTGTGTCACAACCTGTCTCAGTGGGGAGTCAAGGTAAATACCGAACGTATATTAGATCTTCTCTTCTTCCGGAGGAGGAGAAGAATTTTTTTTCCGTCGGAGTAGATGCGGCGGTTGTAGTACCTGTTCTGTGCCTGAGGCCTTCTCACATCCCTTCCGTTCTACCCCCCCCCGCCAGCCATCGTTGCGTGGACAGAATCCTCGGACTTGTTCCGTAACATCTGTTCCGTAGCGTTGGTACGACCGGCTAGGACTAGCTTAAACAAGCTAAGACCATCTTAGACCAGCGGCTAGAGTGGAGCCAACGCGGGTTGCCACGTAAAAATAAACAAAAAAAAAAAAAAAAAACGACCTTGTGTCACAATCTGTCTCAGTGGGGAGTCAAGGTAAATACCGAACGTATATTAGATCTAGAGTTCACTGCAGACGTCATGGCTAACTAGCACGTTCCATTGGTAAAAGATGCAAGAAAATTAGTCAGCTCATTCTATCGCTCCAGGAAGAAGCTTTTACCTTCTATTATGCTTTATGATGGCAAGACGCAAATTAAATCCAAAATGGAGTGTTGTTGCCATATCTGAACTGGAGCTGCTCAATCCTCATTTTCCAACCCTGATAGCGTTCAAAATCGTTTACGCGGTCTGATAGGGGAAGACTTATTCATCAATCTGTAGACACTTTCACACAGACTCAACGCCGTAAGAATGTCTCTCCCCAAACACTATTACCAGAGAAAATCTTCAAATGAGCCCAATTCTTTAGTCCCTCCAGTTCAGACCTTTACAACTAGGATACGCCATGCTACTTTCCCAGAGTCAAATCGTCCTCATTTCCTAAGTCAGCTTAAGAATTACTAGTTTGTGGAATAGGCGGTCACGTGGATGCTTCCCTGATTACGACATTCCTAATCACTTTAGGTCAAGAGTCAATCATTAATATCTTCTTCATACCCAATCTTCAAGTCCATCTGATATTTTCACTCATATCACACCCCATTCGTCATGACCATTTTAACAGTAAATCATTATCTGGATTGGGTCTCAAGCCTTTATTATTTAACTGAAAGAAAGCTTATTAACTCTCAGTGGTTATATTTCAATGCATTTCTCAACAGTGAATACTTGGCTCTCCTGAAATCCTGATGCTTTCGAGTTTTAAACGATTGGATCTTGCTTCATCTTGGCACGTTTAACGACTCTAGGTTTGCTTGTTGAAAGAGATAACGGCACTGTAACAAGGATTTGCAAGAGAGCATCGAACCGAATCGCAAGGAATAAGACACCACTTGTTAGTCTTTGAATATTTAAGTGGGAAACGATCACACTTTCCAGGAGGTGATTAATTGCGGTCTTCGATTCAAAAAATCGATACATCAAGCAAAGGATGAATAACCTTTTGACCAAGTTTCCATAACTTAAATTTGATTGGGGAAGCAATACTTCAAGAAAATCAATGGGTCATAAATAAATAAATAAATAAAAAAAAAATCCATGCAACAAGTGAATTATCAATTCATTTACAAAAGGTCGCTAAAAAATTATCGATCCAACCCACTTTTCAAAATCTGACCAAATGATCATTCCTTTGAAAAATCACTATTCGAAATATTGTCAATTTCAAATCTTTTCATTTGTACCTCCTTACTTCTTAAAATGACAACCAGCAATCATATCAGTACCTGTTTTTATTTCAGAAATGAGGTATTAAGTACATTATTTACATTATTCGGACTATTGTCCTCATCTTTGTCACCATATTTATTACAACGTTTCGGCCGTTGTACGCTCCGCAAGGACACATGGCACAGTGGATAAAGGCGTTAGTTAGATCCAGCGACAGGACACAAAGAGTGTAAGTTCAATACCGAGTTAAGGCAGTGGAGAACTTTCAGAGAGATATTAACAGGAGATAACTGATAACTGACAGCCATTAAATATGGCACGTGGAACTAGAGCAGTCTACTCCAGTGAGCGAAATAAAGGGTTCAGTTCGACATTCCAACCACCTGAAGAATGCCGGAGCGTACAATGGCCGAAACATTGTAATAAATATGGCGACAAAGATGAGGACAATAGTTCGAATAATGTAAATAATGTACAGCAATCATATTTGATTGTTTTGTTCGCCCTGTCGGTTGGGGTTTCAGCACACGATAACTAAACCTCTGCAGGGGGGTAACCTCCTCCCTCCAAAAAGGCCACCTATTTGACGTGGGTAGCGACCTGTAATGTCTGGGGACGGGATCCTGGTGGCTGAGGGATTCAGGAGTCGGTTTAGATACTTTTGATTTCGAACACACCACTTTGACCGTTACTTGGGCTAGACGGGCGGTCGGAGTGTTTCGATCTGAACAATCGGATGGTCACGTCAAGCCCTTATTTGGTTTCTTCCGAATCAGAAGACACTGACTGGAGGGTCAATCATGCTAGGTTCCTCATATCTCCAATAGAAAGCCTCTACATTGAAGCATACCAACCTCCACTAAAAATTAAGACGTAAAAAATGGCCTTACAGTACTACTTGAAAATCTTGTCATGCCCAACTCGAATGAACATTATCCTCAATACACACACGCACCTCTATTTAATACAAAGTTAAAATGCATTAAGCCACATATCCTAAGAAGGGCCAATCTTCACAACAATTCATGACGAAGGTACCGCCCTAGTCGATAAAGCAGACGAAAAACTTCTAAGCCTGGAAAAAATTCCCCAAAACACAATCCCAAATATTTTTGACAATCATCTTGATCGGACTGATAACTTTTCAGGATTCTTATTATTTGAATAAGGCTTACGGCCACATTACATTGAAACATCAGTTCATGTACGATCACCGAAGTTAAGCAAAGTCGAGACTAGTCAGTGCCTAGACGGGTGACCGTTTGGGAATAACAGGTGCTGTAAGGTTGGATGTGTTGGCGATATGATGGGCTTACAGCCATATCATTTTGAAATACCGGTTCTCATACGATCACCGAAGTTAAGCAACGTCGAGCCTAGTCAGTGCCTAGATGGGTGACCGCTTGGGAATACCAGGTGCTGTAAGCTTGGATGTGCGTGTGTTGTAATAGGTAACGATTCGGAATTATTAATCGAGGAACTGGATTCCAGATGAAATCGTTATATTCACTTTCGCGCAAATACCATTGGGTAAGGTATGAAGCTCACTCTTCTCCACCGGCTATGGGTTAATTAATAAGACTTGTATCCCTAAACCATTATTACCTACAAAAAATGTTAGTCGAAAATATTTTAATGGTTTTAAATAACGTACAAAGGGTTGATAAGCTGTAAAAAATGAATCAATGAATAAAAAATGGGTGCTGAAAACTTTTCGATTTAATTGACTCTTTAATTTTTTTTTGGACCGACATCTTGGTCGGGCTGATAAATTTCAGTATATCTGTTATTTAAATAAGCTTAGTTTGGAAAATAGCAACGAACATGTGAAATCAATGCGTAAACGACAAAAAATATAAGAAATTCTGTTAGAGTCGATTGGAATCAAAATTGAACAGAGCTCAAAGCAAAACGAAATTGAAAACGCGACTGAAGCAATTATAAAACAAACCTGGGAAAAGTTTAACTTACTGCGTAAAGCAACTGTAAACATCTGTCTATATTTCTGAGGTGAGGTATTTTAATTATTTACACTATTTACATTGATCGGATAGTTGTCTTCATCACCTTACGATCGTTTCGGCTATTGTACGCTCCGCCACTCTTCAGGCAATTTGAACTGAACCCTTGAGGACACATGGCCCAGTGGACAAAAGCGTTGGTTGAATCCAGTGACCAAAGAGTTGCGAGTTCAATACCTTGCTACAGCAGAGTTGAATAATAATAATAATAATAAAAAAAACAACTATGGAGAGTTGAGTTAAAAGGGAGAGAACTGATACTGAGACACCCAAAAGAGACATGGCACGCGGAACTTGAACAATCTATCCCGATTGACGAAATAAAGGGTTCAGTTCGAAATTCCAATCATCTGAAGAAGGCCGGCGCGTACAACAGTCGATACGTCGTGAATGAAGGATGTTATCTCTAAGACCTAGATACTTAAGTCGCTCAAAGCCATTTTAGTCATTGATCTGAGAAGGCCGTTGTGTAGAGTTGACAGTTTAGATACTTCTGAACGAGTTGGTCTCAACATCCATATTAAAGTGACGATCTAACGAACGACAGAAAATAATAAAAACACTAGCAAAATAACAAGAAAGAAAAAACAAAAAATGAGAGAATAGATAACCTGAAAGCTAATTGTCTGTAGAATACACCACATACAGAAACGTTCTGAGGATGACGATAAACTACATCCAACATCAGGGCCTCTGATAAGGAGGTGCGTGTAACCACCTCTTAATTGCTGGTGTTCCCAGATACACCCTGACCTGGGTTGGTAGCACCTCTTAGAATCCCAGGTTTTGCGCAAATAGTTACCCCCGCAAAGGGGTCAAAAGACTGTGAAAGTGTAAAAATAGGATTTTATAGTAAAAATACCAGCAATACATTTTTTGAAAAAACTAATTACCAGAAATACATTTTTGAAAATAAAATGCTGACAATACATTTGACTTTCGACAAAAGAAAAAAAAAAAAAAAAAAAAAAAAAAAATAGGCCAATGAAACCTGATTTACAAACTGATTTCTTAGAATTAATGCATATTCTATTCATACGAACCTATTCTAAAAATGTTGTCGTTATTAAATAAACGATTGTGGTTGATATGCCGTAAAACAAAATGAACCAAACCAAAGACTTCTGGATTTATTTGCACGAACTGAGGAGGCAAGTCAGAAATATGACTTATGTTTTTTTTTTTGTGTTTTTTTCGTCATCTTTCGGTGTCGGATAATGTAACTCTTATAATCAATTTCCACATCGCTTCTTTTTTAAATTTATTGTAACTGAGCTGAGTGATACAGCTAGGTATTTGAAGAGTTTCATCATCATTTTTTTAGCGCATTTTGCGCCACTGAGGTCGCCATTCTCCTTTATTTCCCAATTATGGTTCACGGTGACATACAAAGCAGAATAATGCAATGCCTTGCCGCTTCCTTTTGCATTGGGGATGTTGAAGTTAACCGTGCCTCCTCCCAGATGTTAAAGAGACAGGCATACAAGACAGCAAGTGGTTTGAACTCAGTTTTCTTTCTCCTAGACTGGCTGCTAACCAAGGCTATAGGGTCTAGTCTGTCCTACTAATAACCCATAGCTGATGGGAAGAGATGGATTCATACTTTTTGTAAGTAAATGCAATGAACTCGACTGAAATTCGACCTCAGCTCTCCGATTCCTCAATCCGAGCCACTATCTATTACTCCACCGTGCGAGGAGTTTATTATTAGTTAATTTTACATACGAAACTTTTAGGGTGGATTCAGGGTACGTGCCATCACTGCTCTCATTACAGTTCCAGATCATAGTTTCTGTTTTGGAAAGGTTTTTTCTTGAATGCTCTTTCTTGGAGCACTTGTTAGAGGATGTTGATACAAATATCTATGTCATCAGTTTAAACCATTAGCGCCCATCTCTTTATATCTGTGCTTGTATATGCGTAGGGCATAATCTAGGAATTTTTGTATATTCGTCTAAGAATAAATCTTAAAAAGAAAAGGCGGTGTGTTTTCATGCTTATTTTTCACTTATCTTCATGTTAATCTTAAACAAGCTCTTGTGCACGAACGGCATAATTAGATTATTTCTTTTTGTTTCTTTTTATTTCTAATTGCCCGACTCCATTCACGAGGTGACTTGGTACGTTACGCCAATTATTTTTCAAATATATTTTTCTCTGTGTTACAATTATTTTGTTCCAGGATGGAAAAAATTCTCCGATTATTTTTCAAGTTGAATAATCGCCGCTGGTATGACAATTTCAGACGGCACTTATATTTGATTCATAATGGTAACATTAACAGTTTCCTTATAAGGAAACATTTGACATTCAGAGACCAAGCAGCCAGTGCCTATTATTGATTTAAATTTATAAAATCTATTTAAACAACTTTTCAGGAAAATAGATTTCTCAAATCCAGTAGCTGTTATTATGATTTTCTTCCTAATCCTTTGTTTGAAGTAGTGATGTCTTATAAAGTTCATATAACACTCATAGTTGCTGGTTAGTAAGACTGTGAAGGAAACAACGGGGGAAAAAAAGGTTGAGTGAATCACATGAGAATATGTATTGAGAATAGAGGAGTTCACTGCGACAAGCGTACGATTGAAAATGGCTACTACTTTGCGATCCACTTTTTGCCACTGTTCCATGCGCAGACGTTCTATTCATAGCGGATGGACGAGTCCATGTTTCAAAAGGTTAGTCTTTCTACACAACATGTATAAAGTCAACATTTTCACTATGTCTCTTTCCTTTTCGTGTTGCCTATGCCATCCATTTTTGTTGTTGAAAGTCCTCAAGTGATGTTGTTAATGTTATTTCTTATAGTTCTTTCTTTGTGTTTATGTAGCGCCAGTCGATGAAGTTTGAGGATTGGTAGGTCTTCGCTAAGACCCACATGGCCAGACTTCATTAGCTCGAAATCATTTTAAAATATTGATCCAAGAAAGCAGTAGTTTACTGTTTAGACATTTCTGGTTGGTTTGTTTTACGGTATATCAACCTCAATGGGTTATTTAATGCCGACAAGATTTTTTATTGCTGGTAATATTTTTTTGTAAAATTGTATTGCTGGTAATGTAATATGTAATAATTTTTTCTTCAAAAATTTATAGCTGGTAATTTTTTTTATAAGAATGTATTGCTGGTATTAAGATCTATTTTTACACTTTCGTGCTATTTTGACCCCAGTTTAGGGGTTAGCTATGTGCCTATATCTGGGACCCTAACAGGTGCTACTACCCCGGATCAAGGTGGACCTGAGAACAACAGCAACTTAAATCCTCCTGATCAGAGGCCTTGCTGTTGGATGTAGTTTATCGTCTGACGGGGCTGTTTAAGAAGAATACATTTTATATACGTTTGTTAATAAAACGACTGTTTTTAGCTGATAGCCAGACAAAAAAGTATCCTTGTCTAATAATCCCAGTTTCATGGTTACCAACAAAAACAAGAAGAAATACACACGACATCAATTAAGGGTAACTTAGTTTATCGTTCTACGTACCGAATTGTTTCGTGAAAATAGTCCTTTGCTGGTTCCAAGTCATTTTTGTGTAGGTAATCCGAACCTATATTGTAATATAACTGAAAAATAAATAATAAAAAGATAGATAGAGGGAGGATAAACATTTATATGCAATCGAAATGTACCACAGATATTCCGGTAATATTTTAATCCGGACAATATGGGCAAGTTCAATCCCTGAACCGAGAAGAAACGGGGGCAAGCAATAACTGACCAGTGTTAAAAAAAACAAAAAACTAGAAGCGCATGGACAGTGGAACGAGAACTATCTAGCTCCTTAGTTTATGTAGTATAAATGAAGGTTTCTCTTCGGTTACCCGGATCGACATATATTTGATGAAGGCCCGAAGGCACTGCAGTCGAAACGTTGTGATAACACTAACAATAGTCCGCGTGCAGATAATTTGCTATAAAAAGAATTCATTTCACGCGGTTGCCAGACTAATGCACTAATTCGTTTTCAATGCCTTAACCCGTTGCAAGTTATCTAAAGCCAGAAAATATTTTTAGATTGTAAGAATATATTTTGGAGATGATAATGGTTTAGTTATACAAGTCTTACTAATTAACCCATTAGTGAAGAGGAGGTGGATTTCTACCTTTCCTCCATCCACCAAAAAGTCTTTGCACGTAAGTGAACATAACGAACTAAATTGGAACTCAGATCTCCGATTAACAATTCCGAGCCATTATCCAGTACACCACCCGCACATCCAAGCTTACAACATGATAAAAGATGGGTTCATGCCTTTTCCAAGTGTATTTGCGCATAAGTGAATGTAACGAACCCAATTGAAACTTGGCTCTCCGATTAACAATTCCGAGCCATTATCCATTTACACCACCTGCACATCCAAGCTTACAACACGATAAGAGATCGGTTCATGCCTTTCG